GTTGTAATTATGACACAATGAAGCAGATTTTGTTCATGTTCATGCTGAGATGAAGCTGAATGTAGAACCTTTCATCTAAAAAGTTGACCTACATCATTTCCCCCCACAAACTAAAAGGCCAGAAGACTGAAAAGTTAACATGACTAAAGGCTGAAGAAAACATTTCAAAACAGTGTCATACAATGATGAACGCACATGAACATAGAGAGGGGAATGTGACTGCTGCAGGTTAAACAGCTTATATCTTAGGAGGAGGGATTTGGTTGCCTCTGCTGGAGGAGAATATTAGCAGGATTATCTGGCAACCTTGTTGTTGAGGTGAATACTGTTAGAATCCTATTTGAAAGTCTTCTTTGCTTCTTGACCAAAATCTCCTTTTTTCCCTGCTTATTCTAGCCTCATCCTGCAATTAGATCATTTTACATTCTCACATCCCAGATTACACTCATTCACGTGTTTTAAAAACATGTCATGCATCGTATAAACATTATGTTCATGTGTTCTTTAGGCATGGGTGTTTATGGCGATGTATCACTACATTAGAGGTACAGACCTCTCTGCTCCCGTGGGTGACTACGTGCGTGTCATACACTCACAGTGTGGACACACTGAATACTAATACACAAGGTGTTAGCATTTCTCAGAATATTTAGGTGTCTTTCTGGACATCTGTTTGAATATAAACAGTAGGCAGGGTCTTATGAAGTGCTGYTTKGTGTCAAAGAGAATGACAGTTGAGAYTGTGGCTGATGTGTGCATTTGAGTGCGACTGTGCGTCAAGAGGGCTTTATGAAAATGTGTGTCTCGTTTGCGTTTTTTTAGCCACAGTCTGAGGCTAATAAATATTGACAGAGAATTATCTCCTCTGGCAGAGTTGCAGGTGGGTTTCAGGGTGGTAGACTRGACGCACCAGCAAGAACAAAACACCCAAACTCACACAAGCATAACTTCATCTTTTTATTTTGTTTTTGTATGCTATACTCCAYTACAGCAGCTTTCAGCAAAGTCTTTGGGTAAGATACTAATGACCATTAATTAACTGTCAAGACAAAAAAACTGCCTTCTACCCTCACAATAACGCAACTTCGCAAAAACACAGTGAATAGCCATCACTACCTGTTCAGATCAGAGTAAGATATTCACAAAAACAGAAAGATAATTAGGTAAAACCTGTAGCAGCTCAGACCTTGTTGTTGGTGGGATGAAAAAGATGAAAGGAGTTAAGAATAGAGGGACCAGAACAGGATGTTTTCCTTGAAGCTACGGAAAATTGTCCCTTGTCTGCTGAGCAGCTAAGCAACAATCACAAMTACAGTTTGTATTTAACCCAATCAATAAGTTTCCCAGGTAGAAGAAATCGATTATGTTGCTGTGACACCAGCCTGTCATCACTCTGGTTCCACCTCAAGCATCACTCCACTCACTTTCAAACACACACTAAAGGAGRTGATTTAGTCAGTGTTCCTTTACAAACGTGGTTTAGTCAGGCATAAACATTTAACACGGAAAATTATGCATAAACAGATTTGAAAGGTGCTGTAAAAATGAGGGGAGGTGAAATTTGCTGGATTAGATCTACACATTTCAATTTATTCTACTGCACCTTTCTCGCATCACCACTCAAAGTGGGTCTGATGTGCCTTTATCAGCATCAGAATCAATGTAAAATGATTGATGCAAAAGAGGGAAAGACTGAAGTTGATTCATCACAGATAAACCTCCAAAGTCAGCCACAGATGTAGTCAGAGTTGAGCTGACATGCATGTTTGAAGTGTGGGGGCAGTACAGCGGCAACTAGTAATGTTCAGTGTTCAGACTTTTTACAGATTTTTTCTTTGAACTTAAAGGGGCAATATTATGTGTTTCTCAGGCAAACATTTAAATACTATACCATAATAAAGTATCTATGTCACCTTTAGCTG